AAAACGGCCGATGGGCACTGATGACATGCCGAAAGTTGCAACACAATTTTTTTGTCATCAAATGGTGTGCGAACCCATGGATACGCGATCACAGCGACAAAATGCTGTCGAGTAGCACTTGCACCAGGACAAGAAACTGTGCTTCTGAAGCACTAAAAATCATGCGCACGACTACGTCGGAAGTGATATTGAAATTGACTCGAACGACGTCTCAATCTGGACCCCAATGTACTGAAAAATTAGGCGGGTTATCGATATCCTTTCTGAGATCATCGCTTGATTACCATGAAAGAAAAATGAACACGAGCGCGCTACTGGTAGTCCGGTAAGCTTCAAAATTTGAGGCAACATATTACTAGAGTGATAGCCTCGAAATCATCGAAAATTGACCCAAAGAAAAGCGCGCGGGGACCTTCACAATTCGTGACTGTACTTCAAAGTATTGATGATCTGCACTGATTTTACAAGGGTTTATTACCGCAGATTGACATGTTTTCTACCACAAACGCTGAAAGTGTGTCTAGACCTTCATAACTGGGTCTTGTGCTTGAGTCTTACTCACACCTTCACCGTTTATGCGGTCAGTTCCGTGTGAAACACCAAATAGGTCCTTTGCAATGGTCTTCGGTATACAATTCGTTTTGCAAGAACGTATTTGCATAACACTGCTAGCATTAGGTAGCTACATTAACGCAAAGGCTACATTCAACGATTGACAACGCGCTGCGCTCGTGTAAACTTCAAGAAGAGTGTAGAACCATAGTAATAACGATTCCAAGCATCAAGTTTGGACAGAATCTCGGGTCACGCTTAGCAAAATTAGCTTATCTTATTCTAAGCAAAACTAGGACAAAAATTGTCGAACGTTGTAAGCATGCCACAGACGCGTGAGAACCATGGGTCATTGTTTTGCACATGTCCGTGCGCCGTAGCTTTATGGGATCGATTCGCTGCGCGCTGTACCGAAAAAGATAGCTCCTCCACCGAACGAAACAAGTTCGAATGCATGCTTCAGCAGACAAGTACATCAACTTTTACCCGAAGAGGGATATTATTATTAGGGTATAAAATCTGATGTGAAAGAGATAAAAAGAGCATGGAGGAGAATCTAGCGTATCCTTGCCACGATATATCAAAAGAAGGTCTTGGGAAAAAGAGAAATGACGCTGTCCACCGAGAACCATCTATTGATAGTCGCACGAGCATAACAACTTTTGCGCTAAATACGCCTGGCAACTTTGCGCGATCGCAAAGGTGAGTATCGAAAAGTATCGAATGAAAGTTGCATTAATATACTAAATGCATGCATTATAATGTGTTGGATCGCGCGGAAAAAAGGATCACATGTTCTCACTGGTTTTAGCCACGGTCAACTCCCTTAGTCTTAAAGATGGCGTGTATATACAGTACAAAGTCTTGCAATTCGTTTATCATTCAATCGTGTGAATAGAATCTACACCACCACATTACGTTCATTAAAAGCTAAAGCATATACCTTGTCCTCTTTGCTAAACATGTTTGTCTCGGATCAAAGACTACTGTCTTTATACGTTGAAACAAAGGAATAAGAAAAAAGTGAAAGTCGATTTATAAGCTTATCGATTCCCAATACACGTCCGAGACGAGCGAGTGACGTTGGAAATGATCTGATTATTGAGATAAATACCAACGCACTTATTTTTTGCGAGTGGTGTGTAAACAACAATCATCTCGAATGTAACAAACATACATTGCAGTAAACGAAAAGATCATCAGTTGATATGGGCCAATGCATTAACGAAATGAGTGATCGGTAAGTCGAGACACAAAAGTAATACTCCCTTTGTGCCGGCAACCTTAGTCGAAACCTGTGGCGCCATAAAAGTCGACAGCGAGCTCAGTATCCGTCGCTTCAGCTTATCCTGATGCTTATCTTAACCGTTATATCTTCGGTCTGCAGAGATGAGCGATCAGGTTTACCTCTTGCAATTGCGTCCAGCTTTTTAGCTTCGAAGACTGCAATCATCAGGCGCTTGCAGAATCCTTATATCTTCCCCATTCCAAAAAATAAGGAAGTCCTATTTTCTTGCTTCGCTCGATCCTCAATCTGCCTCCACTTATTAGACCTTGCATTGCTGGGCTCGTTACCCTGTAAAGATTGCACGAAGAACAATTCGCCGAAATTCGGTGTATTCTAATACAACGATTTGCGTATTTAAATGCCGACGGACTAAAACATGGAAAGAGATATCTGAGTTGTAAACTCTGACGCTGTGACGTGGAATTGGTAAATGTCAAGTGCGGTACAAGGAGGGATGGTATAGAAAATCATTTACACAGAATTGTTATCTCATCACGAAATATTTGGATCAATCTTCGACGGTACGTTAGTGGCATGAAAAGCTGCTGTAAGCTATCACCAGATGTAAAATAGACTTGTTCAATAGTTCAATATGACCACACACCCATCGGCGAATGCATATGACAAAGATAGAAGCGCCAAATAACTCGATAAAATTGTTTATAAACGAAAGCGCCCAACCACTGACATCACATGAGCCAGTGAAGAACCAGTGACTGTGCAACTAGTGAATGAAGCACTATTGAGTGAAGCGACGTCTTCGCTAGAGACATAATCAGCGCACTATGTAAACTTTGACGGGATTGTAAAGAAGCCGTCAGGAGGCCGGGTTAGCCGAAAAACAAAGAAGAGTCGCCGAGATTGACATCGTCGTGGACATTAGCTGGTACATGGTAGTCGGCAGACTACGAAGGAATACGAATATAGTCAAATGATAAGTAACATAGCCAGGAAAAGGCACCAAACGAGAAGATGTCGATAGCACAACCTCGCTTTACACCACGACTATCTCACAAATTGAAGAAGAAGGGTAGTTGAAAATGAGTAATGTTAAAAGCGGGAAACGGGCTATCTTGGTCGGGACAATCGCCGGTTAGATTCGTACAAAGACCTGCGCAGTTGTGGTTTAATGGGATATCACCGGAAGAATTACGCTACATCATGTACCGCGAGTTTCGCCCTAGCACCTCTTTCTCGAGAAAATGAAGCCTTATAAATAGGCCTTGCGTTAAGTTCACGCAAGGGGTGTGCCCCGTTGCATCAGCTGACCTTCTGCAGTGCGAAGAAGTGAGCAAATGTCTTTAAAAGTGAGCTATGGGGTCGTGGCTGCCGCAACCCCTTGCACGTCGATTCGTCGAGAGTTCCTTATGTGGGGATCTCGTGCGACTAGACAACGTGTACTCTTTGATGCTACCGTCGTGCTTGCTGCGTCATTTGTGCGATGCGCTCGCGTGCATGCATGCTCCTTATGTATACCGTGAGAGCTTTTGCTACCTTGCCACGCGCGTGGAGATTCTTGTCGCGCGGTGCTGTGCGCTGGTGACATTGGACTTCTCTCATTTGAGCATAGTAGACACTTCCTCGCCAGCTGTAAGGAACGGCTGCAGCTCGGACTCGTTACAGATTCTGCCTGAATGGTATGCTGGTCATCGCGTACGAAGGACGCAAGATCTCCATTTCATGCTCACATGTCCAGCCAAACGTGACTCCTCTGTGTGAATATTGGGTAGACGAAGCCGATGGGAACAGCAACGCAGTGGGCGGCAAAGTACACTTGAAGCGTCACGTTTGCCGTCATGGTAGAACGTGATACGAAGCAACATCGTGTTGCAATCGATCGAGTCCATCGCGTGGTGAATCTCGCGATATTCCGTTGAAACTGCATTGTTTGTGACCGTTCTTGACAGTCGAGCCGAAATAAAAAGCGTGGCTCCGTCGTTCTCGTGCAGATGTGGTGCTGTTCTCGATTCTGGAACCGATGACGACCACCGCACTCGCGACTACTTTCTGAAGTTCACGACAAAGAACAGACGCTAGTGGATGGTCCACCCCGGAGGTGCCATGATGAACTTGAAGCAAAGCGGAAGACGACCGGCGCTGAGCGAGCCATTTCTTGGCGTTTGTGTGGCCTTCATCTCGACACCTGCGGTCGTGGAGGGCTCCCATCGCTCCTATCCGAGTACATGGCTGCACCGTGCCAACACGGTTAGAGCAACGCGAGGAGCCCTACAGGTTCGAGTAGTCCAAGAGGTGCTCGTCATGTTGGTGGGCCAAACTTCAGCTCTTGTATTGTTTCCGAGTGTAGTGCTCATAGCCGCATTTGAAGCGGTAGTCTGGCTGTAAGTCTATGGAAGACGCACGATGTGGCTGCTACATCTACGGAAGCTTGAGGGATGATTGCTACGAAAGTCAGGGCAGATCTCATCTGATGCAAGGTTATGCTAGACGGACGAACGGGTTTCCATGTCGATAACACAGCACCCTTGTTGTCTGGCTGCCTGAATAGCAATCAGGATCATGGAGAGAGTGTACCTGGTGCGATAGCGCTGGTGCCTGTATGTTGCTATCCTGGTTTCATAGCCGCATTTGTGGTCCGTAAGCCAACACTTGAGCACGTCGTTACGTGCGCTGTTTGGTGAGAAGAAGCCGAGTCGTGCAAACGCGATACGTGCGCTGCCCTGGCGAGTGATTGTACCTGCCCTTCATACTCGTGGCGCGATAGCGCACGTCGGATGTTCACACTGCTATCGGTGACGTCGCTGGACGTGTGCAGACGCTACGAAAGTGCCCACGAGGTTGCAAGCACCATTTGACCTATCTGCATCGATTAAAATTAGGACAACACAGGTCTGTTTCACAAATGGCATGTATTGTTATCGGTTGCCTGCAGGCGGCTGCTAGCGACGGATGGAGTCACGAAGGACCAGCGCTCGTGTCGCTTGCCCGTTTTCTTTTTTGGTCCCTAGAAGCTTTATGATACTCACGATAGTTGTCCAGAAGCGTATCCTCCCACTGTGTCTCGAACACCTCACCACCATTTCCAGGTCTCCCAGGTCTTCCTTCTTTTTCCTTTCTTGCATTCTTAATCGCGTCGTGCAGCATACCAGGAGTGGTACCTTTCTTCTTCAAGGTTGATGCAGCTTTACCATCAGATTCTTTTTTAACATCTCCAACAATAATCCATTCTTTGCACCAGTGATGCAGCCTGGCGAACCCCAAACATCTCCGTGAGCTGCTTGGCGATGATTGAATGTTGATCTTTATGATCTCGAGCGAGCATACCGACGAACAGGATGAACAGGTCCACGTTTTCGGCGTCTAAGACTCCTGTCTTTTCTAGTGGGATTCCGAAGTTGACAGCAGCCTCTTCAAGTGTCATCCAGTCCGCACTCATCTCCTGTACCACACGCCTCACATATTTTTTGTTATTCCTGTTGCGATTCAGTGTCGACAGGGTAGATTTAAGTTTGGCATCGTCCCTAATGCACCTTGACATCACTTTCAGCAACGTAAGTTCGTTGCTGCCATGGAGCTCGTCGTATTCCTTCATGTACTTGTCCAGACTGCCAAGGTCCAGGGATGCAACATGACTTCCCTCGCGACCGGGCATTCCTTGCTTAGCTGGATTGACCCCGGCTTCCTGGAGCTTGATGTCGAAATACGCACTGGGATCCATCTCATGTCGCATTATCGCCTCAGCTGTCATTCTCGCCTGGTTTGCAAGAAAAGACTGGGTAGCCTTAGCTGTCAATTCCGCCTGGTTTGCAAGAAAAAACTGGTGAGCCTCTGCTGTCATTCTCGCCTGGTTTGCAAGAAAAGACTGGGTAGCCTTAGCTGTCAGTTCCGCCTGGTGTGCAAGAAAAGAATCGCGAGTCTCTGCAGTCATTTCCGCCTGGTTTGCAAGAAAAAAATCGCGAGCCTGAGCCGTCGTTTTCGCCACGTGTGCACGAACATATTTGTGAGCCTCTGCTGTCAAATCCACCTGGATTCCAAGAAAAGAACGGCGAGCCTCAGCCGTCATTTCCTCCAGGTGTGCAAGAAAATCTTGGCGAGTATCTGCTATCATTATCTCCTGGTGTTTGAGAATCATTCCGTGAGCCTTTACTAATGTTTGCGCCTGGTCTGCAAGAAAATGTTGGGGAGTCTCTACTCCCATTTCCGCCTGGAGTGAAAGAAAATATTGGGGAGTCTCCACTCCCATTTCCGCCTGACGTGCAAAAAAATCTTGGTGAACCTTTGCTCCCATTTTCGCCTCATGTGCAAGAAATACTTGGCGAGCCTCTGCGATCAGTCTGAGTCCATCTGCGGGTTTGTTTTGAGGCAAGCGACCAACAGTTTGAGCGTGTTCCACCAGCTGCTGTGTTGTCATGTGTGCCGATTCTAAACGAAAAAGGTGTCTGATAGCACTCTCATCGAATTCTCGCAACACGTGCACAGGAAAGTTCTCGACCGCGAGCTTCTCCGGATATTGCATATGCACCTGTTCCACGAAACGAGCAACTACGCTGCTGATTGCTGCAACCCATGGTTCTAGCATCCTCGCTTCACCCGCCGTAGTCTCGTGTGGACCCGGCCCCTGCACAACAGGGATGTCATCGCAGCACGCGTCAGAGGAACGAAGACTTGCTGAGGGAGCACCTTCCGTCGTCGTCGAGTTGGACGCCTTCGCAGGGTTCGCGCTGTGTGCTAGAACCGCAGTGAACACGACGAGCGTGAACGTGTGGAGGCGCATCGCTGGAGATGCCGTTGTCAGTCTCGAGCGAGGGAGGGAGCAAATGTTAAGGTGCCAACAAGCCCGAGTCGCGCGTCCGCTTTCTTGAGAAAAAGAGCGCCCTGAATGGACGGGGGTGGGCCTGTTACATATTATATTATAATTTGTGACATTATGATAATCGAGAATATTGAGCCTAATATTACCACTACAATATCACTAAGCTCAGTGATAGTGTTGCAGTAAGGCCAAGGGTCTACTCATTGATTGATGGCCACTTTTGCTGGGGGCTCACCCCACTTTTGCTAGGGGCTCACCCCACTTTTGCTACGGGCTCACCCGCTTTCCTGAATGATAAAAAGGACTTCACCTAGCATGGTGCAGAATAAGCAAAACACGTAGTCACTTACCCTGCGCGATATGTCCCTATCTTAAACGGTAAATGCACTCATTCGCGAGATTTTTTTCAAAATCCATCTTTGCCAGGGCTGTATCCGACCGGCTATGCCTGCTGGGATCTCTACTGTCTCAAATACGGTATACAATCAAATTGTACGACGCCAAGATCTGACCATCGGCAGTGGCAACGACATCCGAGTTTCTACGTGCTCACAGTCACGAGTAGTTTGTAGCCGGGCCCCCAACAATTTACACGAGTCGAGAGCGTAAAGTCGTCGCGGACTTTGCCAAAGATCTCTACGTGACACACGCCGCTAACGTGGAGATACTTCTGCAAGCGTGGAACAAACTTCGCGCGGGCAGGAAGCACGCAAGTCGAGAAAGTTTCCGATCGAACGTTCGGGTATTGCGTGCAAATTGTGGTATGACTTGCACGAGTCGCCGGTGTTTCGGCTTGGCGCGTGGAAATAAGTGGAAGACACAGCGTTTCGACGGTTGTCCACGGAGGAAGAAGACCCGAAACTGGTGAAGAAGTGGCACGAGATTGCAAAGCGCATGCCAGTGCCGGGAAGACCAGCAGCTCATTGTCTTACTCGGTACAAGACTGCGCTGAACGCAGGAAACACGCGGTCAACCTTTACGCCAGAAGAAGATTAGATCCTGCGTGAAGCTGTCCCGGTCTTTGGCGAAAAGTGGGACGTGGTTGCAGATTTAATGGATGGCCGTATGTCGGAGCAGATCCGCCATCGATGGCAGCTCTCGCTTGCACGAGGTCTTCGGTGAGGCAATTTTTCGCTGTGTGAAGATAGACGGCTGCTTCTCGCACTTCGTGCATACGTGCCAAAAGACGGTGAGTTCAATTAGGATCAAGTGCCGTGGAACGGCATTTTTCATCGTGTGCCCGGGCGAACGCAGCCAGCGATTCGGGACCGATATGTCAACTGCATCAACCCGGACTTGTCGTCCCGTAAGTTCACCGAGCAGAAACATGGCTCATTCTTACAAGATAGCGCGAGTGAGGCATCGAGTCGCCCAGACTCTGGCCGCGGCTTGCTGCTGAGCTAAGTGGCCGCACGAAATCTCAACTGTGCCGATGCTGGAGACAATTGGATCCAGACGCTTATGACAAACGTTGTCGCGAGTGAAAGATGCAAGCAAAAGCCAGACAACAGCCGTCTTCTGTCGCCGTTCAATACATCAACATGACCCTTGCTTTAGGAAGAAACACACTAAGCGTAGTACGTACAATGGTATCACAGTGGAGCAAGTAGCAACCGAGTCGTTCCCGCGAGGTCGTGCAGCTTTAGTACTGCATAGTTTCGAAGAGTTGGAAGTCCTTTTTATTATTTTAGGAGGGCGGGTGTGCCCGTAGCAAAAGTGGGGTGTGCCCCTAGTCGTGGCCTATTCCATAATATGTGAAAGAGTAGAGCGATGCAGCGTAGCCGTTTCAGGTCCAAACAAAACGCACAGTTTCCGAAAAGTCAATGTAAAGTGTGAAATATGCTTTCGTCGAGCCTCGAGAGGCGTGGCTTTCATTGGTTCCGATTAACAACATCACGAGGCCAAGTCGGACTGGGCGGGCAGCACTCGCTAATAGAGAAAGAAGTAGTCTCGTCAAATACAAGCCGGTAACGAGTGGTAAACAGACGGCACCGTAGAAGACTCGTCGAGCGATAAGCCAGTGAACTCGGTCAAGGTATAATTTCAGTATTGTCTATCGCCTAGTCGGTTAGCATAATGGAACGGGATCGTGTAATTGTCCATTGACGAGTTGATGGGACTCAGCAGAGGACACCACAACCCTGTAGTTGGTGTATACTGCATTGGAGACCTGTAAAAGCGCGAAGCGAGTCAGCATCCGCCCTTTCGTTTGATCTCACAGGACTTGGAGGGACAGAAGCTGCTGACTACACAGAGGTTGCGAGTTTCCAGCGAGACGAGAGCCGCGACTGAAACCGAAGCGGCGATCCGCAAGTAATCGATCTGTCCCGGTCTGCAGCCCAAGTCGCCGGCTTAACGCCGCAAATTAGTCGTATTTGTGCATTGCTAATCGTTACGCCAAACCTTTTCAGTAGGCCAAAGTGCCTGTTCAGGCCACGAATACAAGCCGAAGAAGATCGAGCAGGGTTGTCTACCTCGGTAACTTTGAGCTTAGGTAGGTATTTCCGCTTCCCCATCTGCGCATCCAAGTGTCTCAGCAGAGGAGAGAACTTACTTGCTGATCGATTTTGAATACTCAGCAGTCAGATGCCCGCGCAAGTAAGCCGTTTGGAAGCTTTCACCGCCTCGGTGAAAGTGTCAAATATTCTTCGAGGGGTGGCTGATGTAAGAGGCCGCAGACGCAGACGTGCCCGTTATTCCGATGTGTCGAAGGTTAATTCTGCCAGTGTCCCTAGAGATCATTCCATCGTAGCCGCGCCGCACAACCATACCTTTAGCAAATGTGGATGATCCGTAGCCTCTCTATACGTAGCCGACAGGAAATTCGCTTGCTTCGCGCCCGCTTAGGAGGGGGATCAATGCTACAGTCATTAGCTGCTACACTTATTATGGTGGCTAAGTGATCACCGGTATGGGTCGTATGACCGCTGGATCTACTCTACCTCCCGGTTTCGTCGACTCTTTCTTCTGTATTCGCTTACTCGCCTTCGCCGCTGGAACTTTAGCCATCTATACCCGGTCGACGCTCATCCTCAACACACCGGGCTGGGATCGGGACCCCTTCGCCTCATCGGGAGAGAAACGTGGTCGATTAGCCAGGTCCCGTCGTCCGGGATATGCTGTTCAACGCCTGTACATGCACATTCACACTCTTTCTGTGCTTGAGTACTGCAGATCAACGAGTAAATGCACCCCTTGGGGCTTCTTTGGCAGTTCACAAAGGGCGTCAGAGTCAAAGTGACTGTGCTAAACCAACATATGATCTCGAGTGACGTAACCGAAGCAATAGAGCAAGCTCGATAGGGTATCTGTCAGTTTACGCACTTGCATAAAGACGAGTGGTAGCTTTCCACTTTGGGCTCTTCGAGCAACATCGCACATAGCGTTTTGACACAGCTGTTGAGTCCACTAATACGGTGTGTCACGTTGCGCACATAACAGGGGCGAATAGGACTCGCTATCCCCTATTGCCAATCCACGGAATCAGAATCTGAATCCCAATGATACCCACTCACATACTCCATCCAGCAAACAAGTGCACACGTGCGCCACCTCTCTCGATGGAAGGACTGACGCTCAAGAAGTGGCGGCTGGGCGAGAAGATCGGCTCGGGGGCCTGCAGCGACGTTTACGCCGGTATATATGTGCGCTCTTTTCTTGACCTCATTCGTGACGCCCACCCCGCTAGACCGTCTTGTGTGTCCCAGTGACGTCCCTCGACCAGGACACTCCTGACCGTCAGTACGTCATGAAGCTCTCTCCACTGCCGCAGTTGCCAGCTGCAAAGCTCAAGAACAAGAAGAGAAAGAAGACACCGGAAGAGCGCAATGCAGACGCTCTGTACGCTGAGCATCTGCTCTACAAGAACCATCTCAGGGACCAGCCTGGTATCCCGTACGTGCCATTGGGAGCGTATGGAGAAGATAAGGTGCGGCTGGGGGACGGATTTGCAGCTTGTAGATAGCTCTAAGAGTGGCTAATTCTTGCTGAGCTGCTGTGACCGTAGGGATACCGCTTTATAGTCATTGAGCGGCTCGGCCGGACGCTCGAGACGGTGCTGCAGGAGCAAGGTCCTGTACCATCTGAAACGGCAGCGCGACTGGGCCAAGACATTGTACGACTGAGGAACACAAGGGCTTGGATTTGATCGCTGAATGTGCCGTTGTGCTTTTGTTTTGTTTCTGTTTAGCTGGAGACTTTGCAGCAGATGCACGTAAAAAACATTCTCTATGTGGACGTGAAGCCTGAAAACTTTATGCTGAACATGGGAAAGGAAAACAAAGTGTATTGCGTGGACTTCGGCATTTCAGATCGCTATGTAACGGCGACAGGCAAGCACAAAGAACTCAAAGAGGGGACAGTCGTGGGCACGCCAACGTTTCTCAGCGTCAACTGCCACAGTGGCCTCAGTACGTTTCACCAACCCTGTGTATCCACTGTGCTACGCTTCTTACTCTTTATGTGCAGCCTCCAGCCGTCGGGATGACGTCGAGTCTCTTTTGTACGTGCTGATCTACTTGATACGAGGCGATCTTCCTTGGCAGTACGCATCGAGCGACGCCGAAGGTGCCAGAATCAAGAACGCTACCTCGATCGACCAGCTCTGTGCTTCGATGCCTGCGGCATGGAGCACGATGTTCACGAAGATCCGTGCGTGTGGCTTCGAGGACTGTCCGGATTACGACTTCTTCAAACAGCAGTTTTCGATACTAGGAGGCAAAAAGGGCTTGAACGCGCCATTTAAGTGGGGCGCACGCAAAACGGGCGGAACGGTACTTCCATCACTGCGTGACGACAGGCAATGGTGATGGTGTCAAATGACTGATTGAGTGATGCTGTGTGCTGTGTTTATCCAGGCTGCTGAGCTTGCATCGTCGCAAGAATCTGCTACAAAGAGTCCGATGCGGAAGCGCGTCAAAAACGCGGACGACGACCCCCCGGCGTCTCTTCCAGTCGTCGTCGCGAAGACCAAAAAGACAGCGAAAGCCAAAACGACGTCCCGTCCTGACAGCAAAGCAGTCAGCAGAAAAGCTGCCGCGCCAGTAGATCACGACGTCAAGCGCACGAAGCAGAAGGACGTCGACCTCGGGCTTGTGCACGCGTCCAACGACCGAGAAGTGTTCAAGGCTATTGCAGGCCACGCTGCCGCGACCGCCGCTATCAAGCGGTACAACCTGCGCTCTGCTCACCACGAGTAGATCATAGAACGAAGACGGGTTGAGGTCCATGCAAAAAGGTGCATCGGTCGCTCGAGACCGTTGCTGCATACCTCTATCGCATCGTCAAGAATTCGCTCGCAATGGAAAACCACAACAACCGACCGGTACGGAGCAATGTCTAGAACCAAGAAACGACACTGCAAAAGCTCTAGCGACTACCGTCAAAGTGTCGAGTCGTTGAGCGCGTACCTAGAGTCGTTGAGCGCGTACCTAGAGTCGTCGAGTGCGTACCTAGAGTCGTCGAGCACGTACCTAAAGTCGTTTCAGCGCAGTGCTGTAATCCATAAAACGAGCCAAAGGAAAACGCGCTGTTGGCCGAACGAGCATATCCATATTGTATCAAGAGAATGGACTTTCTACGACGTATCAAAGCGCGGGTTATCACCGTTACCGACGGACTTTACTTTCGACTAAAAGCGCGTTTACCTCTATCGTCTATCAGAGGGAATCGATTGATAGCACACCACTCCGAGCTGCATCGACAATGTCCGACTCGGATGACGCCGGACGCGTAGCGTACGAACTGCTGCGAACTCACGGAGACGTGCGCAAGGCAGAGACGCACGAGGCGATCGTCCGAGCGCTGAGCTGTGTGAAGGACGACCGACACGGCGCTGAGGTCCTGCAGCGCCATCACGCCACTGAATATGGTCGGGCACGTACCACTTCGGTGCCCTTTCGAGTCAAGTACATGCCGTGTCGCAGTTAAGCCGCTAACAAGTTGTTCTGCGTTGACTGCTGCTGCTGCTTCTGCTGCTGTTTCTTTGTGGTCGCAGCTTTTGTACGCGGACAGGAGCTGCGCGAGGTGTCTGCGAGGAGGAGTCAGCTGCGGGACAAGTGGAGACGCCGGCAGAAGAGTGAGGTACCTGAAGAAGGCGCGACGATCGAAGACGTGCGCCAGCGCTTTCCCAAGTTGTTTGAAGGCGTGCGTGGCTGTGGCTGCTGTTGGTGGATAGATAGAGACGTGGTAAGGTGTTGAGTTTTGACGCTGGTGCGCGCTGTGTGCTTGCTGCGGCAGGTGGTGGAAGAGCGGACGGAGCACGAGAAGTTAAATGCAGCCGCACATCGTGTTTTAGCTCCAAAGAAAGTATCAGTGCATGCAGCATCGACTTCAGTAGGGGCTGGGAGCGACTCCGTTGTTCCTCTGTCGAACGTGCGAACGAGGGCGGGGTCTGGTAACAACGACGTGAACTTCTTGGACGACAACATCGCAAACGGACCGTCTGAAACCTCTGTCTTTTCAATGCCGAGAAATGCTGCATCTCGGCCTGAACGAGGGCTGAGTGAACTGCTGAGTAAGAGGTCACGCCTGCCCCATGAAGACCTCGAGCCATTCGGCGACGGTGCTCGCCCCAAGCTTTTGCCGCAACGTAGTCCTTTCCAGACTGCTTCAGAACAACTACAGGTAGATGTCGCGAGCTGCTTCATTTGCGGAAACTATGTGGATCTTACTTGTATGATTCCTGGCGCAAACAGCGTGACAGGAGTACTCGTAATGTCGATGACGATGAGCCGAGAAGCAGAAATAGAGGGCGGCGGGATGATGTGCGTGGTCCTCCGCGTGGAGCATACCACCCCGTCAACCACAATCTTCTTTTCGGCGGAGGTGCGAATGGAGACAACGACGGGTACATATCGGGGTCATCTGCAGTCAGCAAAAAGTTTGTGTCTCCGATGAACAACAATGGCACAAACAAAAGGCAAGTACTGTGTACACTGCGTTTTTCTCTTCTCCTGGGATTGAGTGAATTGTGGTGTCAGAGTAACGTCAACGTTGTCGCGCAGTGTCAAGCAAGCTGTGTCCCCGCACGAGGATGAAAACATGGACCCACGACTGAAGAGTTGTGATCCCGAGCTGATCGAAAAGATCGAGATGGAGATCGTTGACAACGGAGACCCGGTGACATTTGACGACATCGGTATGCATTCTTGCTTCTCCTCTTTATCTGCTGGATGTGCAAGAGCTTAGGAAGTTGATCATGTCTTGACTTGCACATTAAGCTGGACTGCAATTTGCGAAGAAGTGCGTGAACGAGCTGGTCATTTGGCCGATGCAGCGACCAGATATCTTCACCGGACTTCGTTCTCTTCCGAAAGGTACGCTAAGCTGTCTATGCTGAATGTGACCGTGGGTGCTGACCGATAGCGCAATTGTTCTTGCGCAGGCTTGCTACTATTTGGACCCCCTGGTACGGGCAAAACGCTGATTGGCAAAGCCATTGCTAGTCAGTGCAATGCAACTTTCTTCAATATATCGGCGAGCTCCTTGACAAGCAAATGGGTATCGAGTATGCTCAGTCCTTGCTGGGTGGCTTGATATTGATCACGCTGACTCCTTCTGTCTTCACTAGATCGGTCAAGGAGAGAAACTCGTTCGAACTCTGTTTGCTGTCGCGGCCGTGAAACAGGTATTGGTACTTGGGGCTTCCAAGATGATATCATTGCTTACCTCTTTTCGTGCTTGATAGCCTTCGGTGATATTTATTGACGAAATCGATTCGCTATTGACGCAACGAAGGTCCACCATCTTTTGAATTCCATCCATCGCAACATCATGATTTTCACACGCGTTCTGCGACAGCTCAGAAGACAATGAAGCTAGTAGACGAATGAAGACCGAATTCCTGGTGCAGCTCGATGGTGCCGGAACGAAAGCGAAGGACATCATACTTGTCGTTGGTAAGTCAATTGGTGGATGGCATCTGACTGACATGTGTGGGTGGATGCTAGACTTACGGCTTTGCTTGCTGTTTTTGTAGGTGCCACAAACCGACCTCAAGAGCTTGACGAAGCAGCACGTCGACGATTCGTGAAGCGTTTGTATATTCCTCTTCCTTCGCTCGAGGCTAGACTAGACATGATCAGCAGGCTGCTCAAGAACAACCAGAACGACCTGACAGGCGAGAATTTGGCGTTCATTGCTGAGTCCACTAAGGGTCCGTACCGTTGCTTCTGCACGTAACGAATACTTGATGTTGAGTGCGCTGTTTTCGCTGCAACACCAGGATACTCCGGTGCAGACGTTCGAGCTCTCTGTACCGAGGCTGCGATGGGTCCGATTCGAAACTGCGCCGATATTCGCACGATGGATGCGGATTCTGTTCGTCCGATCAACTCAGACGACTTCAAAGACGCATTGCGTGGGGTGCGTGAGGATACGGAAACCACCAAAGATGCTGAGTTCGGTAACATCGTTTTTGTTGTTATTCATAGGTACGCTCCAGCGTCGCGGCAAGGGATCTCGCATTTTACAAAGAGTGGAATGACGAGTTCGGAAGCTTTGCTTTCGAGAGCCACGAGGCTTCTTGAGGTGAGAGATACGGAACACAGTACAACAGGGCTAATGTCATGTGTGGGCGTCCGTGCTTACGTGACTACTATGCTCAAAAGAGATCGATGTTTTTGCTGAACGAAGCCCGTTTCTCGATCGTGGCTGTCCGATGATTGCGTTGTAAAACTGATGGAGATGGCCAGCTGGCGTGGTCGCACTGAAGTTGTAAATAAAGTTCGCACCTAACGAAGTGGCGCAGCGCGACGCACTCAGGTGTCCGGAGATAAGTAGTCAGGCTCGTCGAACGGCATGTTGAGTCTTCTTCGCTTTGTCACCGGCTCTAGCGGCGACCGGTTGCTGCGAGTCGAAGCTCGCACAATCGTCAGTGCCATCGACGGGCAGCTTTCAATCTCTTCGCGAAAGCTCTCATCGTCAATGATTTCGTTCGTGTGGTTCATGAAAAACGCCAGGCAATACTCCTTCAGATATGCGGCATTGAACTTCTCCGCGGCGCAGAGGAACTGTCCCACGTTTCCGACAGACAAAACGTTTTGCGCGGCAACCTCGCAGAGGTGCTTTAGTGGCAGCAGCAGATACTGCTCGGACAGTGTCAGCAGGTCGATGAGTTGCTGCACAAAAAACGACGAAGAAACAACGCGATAGCGGACGTTAGGCAACAACAAATCATGCGCAAACACCATTCTTCACGCACGTTGGAGTTGAGCTTGGCCATGTCCAGGACGCGGTTGGTGTAGATGAACTCAAGCATCTTCGACACCATCTCGAGGGAGTGGTCTTCGATGCGAACGACTCCATCCTCGCTTTCTCGCATCGCCCCAGGGCGGAACATGGCCTCGAAGATCTCGCATCTCGTCGTGAGGATCAGCCGATGCGCACGAAGAACAGCTCGCTCTGGTCCAACTTCCAGCGTAATGTCACTCCCGGCCCCACTCTATCCACCCAACACCAGCAATCAGTCACCACTCGCTACCTGAAACGACCTCAACACTTCGTTCTCACCAGAAAGAGCTCTCGCATCGTTGTGAGGTAGGCCTCATCACTGTGACTCGGCACCGTCAGTATCGTTGGCGCCACTCGATGTCGCACGAGAATGATGTCATTCTAGCACAAAGACATGCACACAACAACGACCCAGTCAGTCATCACGGTCCAAACAACACACGCACACACACACACGCTCCCTCTCTGTCCGATGTATCGTGCCCACAACCTTTTGCAGGTACACGGATTCGGGCGAATCCTCCGGGTCCAAGCGGTTCTACGTGCGCATGACCGACCGACAACACCATCACAAAAAGAGACACATTACGCCCCCACTCGCGCTCGTTTTGCCCTCATCTCCTGCTCTTTTTTCTTCGACACATTGCGCACCGTAAAGAAAAAGTCGAGCGACTCGCGTGGCAGTCCGTGGTGTTTACTGTAGTGCCGGAAAAGCGACGAAAAGCGCTGCGTCTTCTGCATGAGACACGAGTACATGTTGTTGGCCGACACGCGCACGATCGAGCGCTCTTTGCCCGTGAGCACCAAATCCTCTGCTGCCTGTACACGACATACCACCCAGTCACATAAAACACCGTCACAGCCACACATACAGACCGTCACATATAGTCACATGCACACACACACACAAACATTTACATGTGCATCAGTACGTAAAACGGCCCACAAGACAGTCGAGAGAAAGAAGAAAAAAAAAGAGTCACACGTGGCATTGCATTGCTGCTCAATGGCACAGGACGCGGAGGAGTGCACCATCAGACAGACCTTTACAGTGAACTCGACGTTCTCGGGCCGCACGCTGCGGTTCATGTCGGAGACGTTAGACGACGGGCCAACAGGTGCGCGCGCGTGTGCAAATGAGCGGTCTGTCTGTCGCTTGCACGCGCGGCGACGACAAACCCGATCCGTGTAGCCATATCGGGTTGCACAGGGCCCTGTCCGCCACAGTGGTCCCCACAGCGGACGACCGCCCGCCCGCTGGAGCTGAACGACCCGCCTCGCGCGGTCCTGTCTTACTGCCGGGTCTCTGCTGCCCCGTCGCCCATCGCACCTGCGAGCACGCGGTCGACGGCGTGCGCCACGTCCCAAACGACCCCACAACGGCCGCGCACCACAGCGTCGAGCTCGACAATCCCGTCAAACATCGGCCCCCCACTTTGCTGCGTCTGGACTTTGGCCTGCGTGGCCGCCGCCTTCGCCCGGGACGGAGATGCGGTGCACTCGACCATCAATGCCGTGCAGTTGACCATCAATGCCGGCTCGATTGTGTCGCTGCCTGTGCGCTCTTCTCCGCCGAGATCCGTCGGGGTCTCGTCGATGACACTCTTTGGCACGACGGATCCGTCTGGACAGAGCTGAACGCGCTGTTTCCTCCCCGTGTATGCGATAGGCACGCGGCCCGCATCGATGCAAATGTCCACGAGGTCGCGAGCATTGTCGGGCGCGAGAATAGCAGTCCGATACGATGCCGGCAGCAGACGAAGGAGGGAATCCAGATTGCACTCGAGTGCGAGTTCAGGAACCTGCATTCCCTCGGCGTCTCCGCCAGGAGGCGAAACAAGACACTCGAGCCTTGACGGTTGGTAATCGAGCTCAGGGCCAAACCAAATCGCTGGACATCCCTTGTTCTTGACCGCAAGCCCCCACCGGAGACTCGTGACCTTCGCACAGTGTGCGTCGACCCACATAGGTCTCTCGCTTCCGTAACAAGTGACATACAACTCTGCGGTTGCGCCAACGACTACAGCAGCGAGTGTGATATCGAGCTACTTGTCCAGTCTGCGGAGCTCAGTGCATGCGTCGCCATCTTGAACGACTGCAAGGTCGACGCTCGATTTGCAGCCGAGTGCTGGAAGCAGAACCTGACAATGTCGACGATGCTCACGTTCAACACAGTCGCATCCTGTGTATGTCGAAAGAGCAACTGCAAGTCAATGCATTTGTTGAGCTGAAGGGTGCGTACGCCGAAGGTGTCAAGCCAGTAAGCGGCACGATGGACGTCGTACATCACTTTGGTGACTGAAGGGTCGCATACCAAGGCGTTCAGTCCCTTGCCCACTCGTCGTTTGCTCAGTGCTTCCAACCGCAACACAAGTGCCTCTCCACCAAGTGCACAAGCAGAGATGGCAATGGCCACGACTTGACCAGGTTCGTTCTTCCCACTGTCGATGGCACATGCGAATTGAAAGTACACACCGACGGACGTCGCTGCGGGCAGGGCGAGTGACTGGTTGTTCCTGTCGAGATAGCTTTGCCATTCAGCTTCGGTGGCGGTAGTCACCTTCATCGTTGCAACGGGTTCAGCTGTGGTTCACGAAAGACCTTTTCGTTGGCTGGAGACAAAGCGGCCGTTTTGTCAGACTGGCTGTTTGTTTACACAGTATGTTTCGTCTTGTTGTGAACACTGCAGTGAGTTCGTCCAGTAAGTTGTTGTGCTTTGCGCAGATTTATCCTCCGGCAGGGGCTCAAATTGGACGTTTCCAGCGCTTGTTTTGTGGCCGCTCAGCTATCCGCTACAAGTTTTATTATCGCCAAAATGGGCAATGTGACTTGATCGATCGACCCTTTTTTTCATCCTTTGGCTTATTCGTTTTTGCTCAACAAGATGCGTGATCGATCGATCGAACGAATGCTGTCGCCTTTGTTCGACTGTTTGTCGGGAAGGACACCTACTCAAATGACATGTCAAGAATGGATGGGGCGCTGCTCTGTGTGTTGCAACCATTAAGCTGAAGGTCGCGGAGGGATCTACTACTAGCAAACGGATGACTTTTGTGGCTGACAGCACTCAGGTATACCGTACGACGTTGATCTGTTCAGTCCTAGTGACCTTCTGCGACGGATGCCATATTTCCAAAGGGTCCCTTACTTTTCTCGTCTTCATCCGTCCTTCGAATCTCTTCCACATCCTGGTCTTCCGTCAGCTCCACACAAGCAAGCACTCTCGTTGTCACCGCTGTGATCACAAAGCCTCGGGATTGACATGGGATTCTGCATACACAGCTTTGTTTAGCGTTAGACTCGAGCTCTTGCTCCTGCTCACTCTCCCCCTCCTCCATATCCTTCGATCCATCTTTGTTCCTTTCCATCTTCGTAGCAAATGGAGATCCAGGAGACCTTGCATGCACATCGTATAGATAAGGAAAGCACTCGACAATGATGATTGCCGGGACGTAGATCCAGGCAGCGAAGCAGCTACGATCAGCACATGGCAGGAGCTTCGTCGACTGTAGATGTTGCCGGCCTCCTTCCGCTCGCAGGTCGATCACATTCTGCAGCTGGTAGCAGTATTGGCGCTACATAAGCGACGCGACGATATCAGCATCAAGTGGCTGTATTCTGATCGTCGCTGGTAGTGGAAGTGGCTGGGCCTTGACGTTAGAGAAGCTCCAGGTCGTTTCGTGACATGTGGCAATATGTTGTCGCATAGAAGGAAATACTGTCGATCGCTGCATAACTGCAGCTTCTACTGGATCAAACCAAACGAAATGAACACGGATTGTGTCTCGTACCTTTGGCCACACGCAACACATATCCAGAGGCTTGCAGACAAAGTGCTGTGTCAGCAGTCTCTAGATCTGTCACGTCGGGTCTGGATTCCTATCTCATTCCAGGCGTTTTTGGCGAATGGATGGATATCAGAGCGAAGATATTCCGGTTGTCGGCTACGGTCCATCCACTTCAAGATCAATCGGATTAGTTTGGATTCCATGCATGCACATTACACACTACATCGACACGATCTGTCGTCCGATTCGTTATCAAAAAGTATCGGCCCACTGCAATCGATCGGGGAGAGCGCCGTATTCGCGATTGACAGCCATTCGTGCTCAAGTCACCACTGCGACCGACGAGAGAAAATATCGATACAATTGACGCAGCAACTGGAGCGTCGTGTTGCATCCGTTCGACTTCGTCAATGCCGTTGCCAACATAAACCGCTTTCGATTGTTTCCACATTTGGTCAGGCGGTCCAACTGCCGGATGGCCGCGTCCCTTGTCATCGCGTCGCTCATGAGCACGAGCTCTTCATTTCCTCAGTCGAGCACTCGCCAAAAACGATGAACAGCTCTCCTTCTCTTGAGTTTAGCGACAAGAATGAGTTTGCCAAGTGGGTTGTGGAAAAGGTTGTCACCCATCTCGTGCGATTTCGCGGTGATGCCACTGCGTTTCGAGAAGAGCTGCTCAAGTTTGGAGGGCGATGGCCCACAGCCCTGTTGAGAAAGCTCGAAGAAACGCATCGAGAAAGCATGGACAAGGCGCACCAGCGGTCAAAGGACGAGCTTACCGAGCGAGTCTCGACGCTGCGAACACAACTCGCATTGATCGCTGACTCGTTATTTTCTGTCAACGCCCAAGCGAAGTCGGGCAAGCGATACACGGCGGTACAAACGCTCAGAGCATTCGTTGACGAGCTCCAGCAAAACAACTCGCTGTGGACCAAAATTGATCTACACACCAAGTTCACCTTAGCACTGCCGTTGCGCAAGAAACCGGAAATGCGGCAGCTTCTTCACCTGCTTGGACAGGATATGAAATCAGTGTGGCGTGATGCTGCAGCGCGAGTGTTTGCACTAATGCAAGCAGAGCTTGGGGATACCGAAGTGGAGGGTGGTTCGCCGACGTTTGAAGAGTCATACGCGCGAGCCCGTGATCGCATCATCTCGAAGGAGTTTCGAGTACTGTTGACGCATTGGAGTTGCCGAAAATCAGCGCACCGGCTTACGATCATCAGTCCTGTGACGCGGAACGGACGAGTGCATTGCCAAGTGGAAGAGACGACGTCGAAGAAGTTCACGAGGTCGGATTATACGCGGGACAGACCTGCGTTTGACGCACGTTCGACCAGAACGGTGCGAACTGCGTGCAACGACAGCACGTGGTCCGACGGAGTACCTGACGGTCGACCCGCTCATTTCGGTATCGATCGATCGCTACTGTTTGCTACAAAGTTCCACGACCGTGACGATGATTTCTCCACTGGTAGATACATACCACGGCGGTACGACTTCTCGTACTGACTGCCGTCGTCAGAAGCGAAGTATGAGTTCATGTTTTCAGTCAAGTCGGTACCGTCACCTGTATGTCAGGCTATCAATCGTTTGTTTGCGTTGGTCTTGGACAGCTTAACGATGAAAGGTACGTCTCTTATGGCTTTAGGGCTCGACGTGGGCGAATAAGCAACTTGAGGAAGCCTTCCACGCAAACCACAGTCAAATGCCACGCACTCGATCTGCAAACGCATTGTGATGGTCTTGAAGCAATCCTCACACACGGAAGACGACAAAAGGTCACCGTGTCATGATAGCCGCGGCTTCAACAGCTCGTCGATTCGGCGGATGCAAGTAGGATCGAGGATTACGTTACGCACGCGTGATTCGCAGCTATAGCAGCAGGGGGAGACACATATTGGGATACTAAGCTTACATCGCTCGATTACCAGAAGATGGAATGGTACAATCTTACAGGCCATAGTTGACCCGATAGGCTTTTCGCCTCGTGACATGGCGAAACATGTAGGCATGACATAACGGCAGCCGACGATGCTGCATTCACGATGCAGTCGACCTCCCTGAGACAACGCAGAATCACAGCGAGGATCGCGTCGAAGAAGGTCTGTATATTGTTGCAATGGAACTTGCTTGTCAACAGTTGTCATGGTGTCCAAGTGTAGTGATGGGAAGGTACAAGAATCCGATCTGTCGCCACCCACACCACTGCAAACGCTCGAGGCCCCTTGCCTCGTTACGACAATAGTGCATGAATGTTAGCGGCAAGATCTCTATCGTTCATTAGATCCTAAGCATGCGCATCATACGTACAGCTGCTTCGCTTGCTGCAGATACCATGTAACTCAACTGAATTCTTCACGATCGAAGTCTTGCGTAAGAAACAAACACTACCCGTCCATACCAAGCACATTGCATCTGCAAGATGCCTCCGTCCGTCACGTCCACGTCAACACAAACAGGTGGGTTCTCCATGCATCGCCGATGTGACCATCGACTTCTTCTCAGTCCAGAGGCGTCCCATTGATCATGTCATCCGAGTAAAGTTGCACACAGGCACCATCCTGAGGGTCGGCTGATTCTCTTCACGTCGCTAACGGCTAATAAGCCACATCGAAACGCTACAACGTGGAGTAGAGGGGCTGCTTGGAGGGGTTGTCTGCATGTTTCGCCTGATCGCCGCAACGCCAAATATCGTGTGACTTCAGTCGACACGATCGACTTTGGCGCGCTCGTGCCTCATGACACGATACTGAACTGTTGCGACTACCTGATGGTGACGACGTTTGCATTCCATCCGCTATGGTGGTCAGGTCTAATAACAGTAGCAGGGCAGCTTTTGTCGCTACTGTATGTGGTGGTAATGCTCGTTGGTCGCAAGAATGGGCTTACGTGGTGTGAGTATCGACAAAAACGGCGATACGATGACCTGCCCGAACGTGGTCAGTCGACGTCAAGTGCGATGCGCACAGGGCGCCACATTATCTCAAAGTGCTGACTTGTCGTGTAGCTGTCGTCGAAGCCACAGATCATCGAAGTTGGACCATGCTCATAGACACGGACAAACACAATGTCATTGTCTGTAGTTATCGCATGTGGCGGAGCGACGATGAGTTCGCAACATCGGAAGGATCAACCCGGAAGTGTTATTGCACCGAACTGCGTCAAACGCTGGTACGTTATATCGTATTCCCTATCGAGTGAGGCTCCTGCATCTGCAACTTGACACGAGTCCAACGAGCGCGAGCGCATGCGAAGACTGCCATCCACAGCGACTGCTGCCAATGACGGGCTGAACAGATCCCTTGCATTCCTTGTGAATTCTCGATCCGCAATCGCATTCTGCGTGGACGACTGGCTGCTCACGGAAAAGCGGCAGGCGTCGTGCATCTGACAGAGCTGGGCGAGCTTGACCAGCTGCGAGAGCCGATGCCAACACATGTCGCTCGCTCCAACTGCTTTCCGACGAGTACGCAACGAACGCGAAAGATGGCCGGGCAACTTTTGTGCATCCATTACGCGCAGCTCACACGAGACCTTCCCCTGGGTCCATCGCACGTGCATATACTGTATCCTTCGGCCAGTGACAACTGCGTCTCAGGTGGATCCTGTGACGACGTCCGTACGGGCGTAGTCTCACCAGCACTTGCGTCTGCGACCATGCAGCGCATGAGTGTACTTCCTCGCCATACAGTGTATGCTCGAACAGCGGTTTGTCTTGCCCCACCTGCGTATAGACTCAGTGGTCCGGTGGACAACAAAGCGGAAGGCCGGTCGCGCAGCGCACAGACTTGTGCCAAGCCAGAAGCTGCCCAGAGGATGGCGAGCAAACATTCCGCACTCGCGAACAAGACCCATGCATTGCACGGACACAACGCTTCAGTGCTTGCGTTTATCTCGGCATGACAAGCGGGCGTCCCATCACGTCTTGATGGTGCCGTACTAAAGCTTACTGGGCCACCACGATCCAAACATAGTGATCCTTGTGCGACACGTTCCAAGTTTGGACCTCCCTATTCTTCGTGCTCATCGTCCTTCGGGCCGTCAATTGCCATGACAGCAAACAAAGCTTATCCAAGCAAACTTTCCATCACACATGAAAAAGGCCATGCACAAAGCCATAGTGTCCGCGACTGTCGAAGTCCAGCAGCTACGCACGCCACTGTTGGACCCCACTTCAACGCATCGTCACGATCGAAGCTTTGCAGCCACCGAAGGGGGCACTCGCCACCGATGCGTGTAGACGACATCACCTCGACCCACTGGTCGATATGCACACAGCACATCAGCTGCACAGACACATCGTGCAAGTCAGGCTCGTCGACGCACAATGCAAACGTGGTCGCCATCGAGACGACCCAACAGCGTCCACTTTACCACTTCCCACACCACGAAAAGTGATCTCGACCCCGACCCCGAAGCAACTCGGACGCAGCCGATGCACTGCGTCCACACCTCTCAATGCGTGTGTCTTCCTCTCTCCTCCTCTTCTCTCTTCTCTCCATCTTCTCTCTCCTCTCTCTCTCTCCCTCCATTCAGTTCAGCAACGACGTGATCGCGTACGCGCTCTGCGCGCTGCTGCCCTGCACGCTCCACGCACCCGCCATCGACACGGCCGCGCCCGTCTTGCCCTCCAGCGGCTCTTTCGCCAGCGCCAGCAGCGTCTCGACAACGTCCGACCCCTCGGAGCTCGTGTCCGTCAGCGCCGCGTCCGCTGCAGCCGTCCGGCCGCTTGTTGTCCAGTGGACGACACAGAGCCCGCCCTTCTTTGCGCGCGCCGAGCACCACGAGAGACTGCAGCGCCGTCCGCCGCCGTGACTGTAGCACAGTCCGCCGCTCTCGGCGCTGCTCTTGCAGCCGTCCACGCGGCAGCGGCGGCCGCCGCCGTGGCGCTTGCACAGGTCGCGACTCACGGCGCCGTTGTTGCAGCCGTGTACGCCGCAGCGGCGGCCGCCCCCGTGGCTGTAGCAGAAGCCGCGACTGCGGGCGCTGTTGCGGCAGAGCGGGAAGGCGCACTTCTTGGGGGAACACGAGCGCTTGGGGCCGGCGGGCGGCGAGGAGGAGGGGCTGTCACTCGCGCGAGGGAACGACCAGCTCCGGTGCGTCGCGACGGCCGCTGTCGAAGAGGTTAGTGACGTTGTTAGTGATGCGGTTGTTGTGGTTGTTGTTGTTGTTGATGGTGATGCGGTTGTTGTGGTTGATGCGGTTGTTGTGGATGATGTGGTTGTTGTGGTTGTTGCGGTTGTTGTGGTTGTTGTGGATGGGAGTTGTCGTGGAACGGGGGGCGGAGGGGGAAGTAGCAGCGGTCGATTGCGGGTGCGCTGGGCGGGTGGCTGTTGTTTGAAGACAAGTGGATTGTTGTCGCTTGCGAGAGTGGACACGGCGGGTAGTAGCGCGAGAGCTGGAGGGGACGAGGGGCGGAGATAGCGACTCGACGGCAGTGGCGCGGGCGGCTGCAGCGAGTAGAGCCACGTGCGGTCGTGTTGTGGCGGTGGCGGGACCGGTGGCTGGTGACAGGCGATCGACTGGTAGTGGGTGTGCATACTGAATGGGTTCGTCGTCGTCGACGTCGCGAAGTGAGGGCGTCGCACTTGTGGCAACGCGTGCAGCGGGTGGCAGATGACGGCCAAAGCGCAAGTGACGGGAGCGCGGCGAGCGATGGGGCGCGTGGCGGCGATTGCGGTCGACCTGAGCCGGTCGAGTGGGTGCGTTTCCGTGTGCAGGTTGAGCGTCCGAGCGGAGAAACGAGCCGACGGCCGGCCGGTCAAGTCGCGCGCACGGAGCTGCAGAAGGGGCAAAGGGGAACCGGTTGTCAGCTTTGTGGGTCCACTCGCGTTTGCCGTGTGAGACAGCAGCAGCAGCAGCAGGTGGTGAAGTGTGTACAGGAGACGGCCGCGCTGGCTGTTCGGTTCGAACACCGAAGCTCCTCGTCGTCGCGAGGATCGCACAGGAGCGTCAGAGGCTGCGCATCGTCTGACGCTCCTGCGCTGTCGATGAGTCGGCATAGACCGGCCAGTCTCTCTGTCTCGGCCGTGGCGGGTCGTCTACTGTGGACCAACGGATGGATGGGATGGTCCGTGGGGCGGGACGGTTTGCGCATTCACTTGTCGCGCCTACAGGCACCGAGAGAAAGCGGCGCGCATCCCGAGCAAATCGGCGACGACGATGCCTTCGTCTGCATCGGCAGCAGGCGCTGCTGCCCGGCTGTCGTGTGCGCCCGCCGAAACGGATCTTCCTCATAGACAGGCGCGCTCTCCTCTCTCGCTCTCGCCACGCGGGCTAGGCCTGGATCCACCACTCTCGTGGCGTGCCGACCAGCAACGCGGATGCCGACGACGCCGACGACGACGACGACGCCGACGACGACGAACGAAATGTGCGAAAGGAGCTGCTCGAGGTCCACACTCTTTTTCGAGTGATAGATCGCTCGACGACAGATATATTGCAGTCGTTGGTGCGCCAATCTGACGCTCGACGACGTGAAGGGCGTTGCAGAGGTTGAGATATCGCCCGATCTCGTTCGTGTGGCCATTTCACGCGAATAGTCTCATGCGGTTGTGGCCGATCTGTACGGTCGCCACTGCGCGTGACGTCTGTGTGTTCGGGACACGTTGACGTGGGTTCGAAATACCGTCTCGTCACACGTGACTTGTGGTACGACTTTGCATCGATGGGGTGTCATGCTCCCGTTGGCTACACCTTATACTGGGTCGGAGGTGCAGGGCGTGGCGATGCTGCAGTATGTACCGACTGATACCGTTATAGAAACGGGATCGCCGCCGTATTTGTTGCTGGTTTCTATCCGCGTATCTATTTTAGAACGCGAGGAGTGACTGAGGAAAAGCAAATCGAAAATGGAGTATGGCCACGGGTGTCCCTATTTAAGTGTACTTTTTGCGTGCTTTTTGGCTGGAGTGGAGTCGTCGTCGTACTTGACGAAGCAAACAGTCTACACGAAGCAAACTTTGGTTCTAGGGAAACAGTCTACACGAGGTTCTAGCATAAATGAAGACGTTTGGCCGAGTATTGACTTGGTCGATAACGATACGCTCGATGAACTACTACTGACGTCGTGGTGGGACTCACGGGACGAGTGCGATAAGCCAGACCGAGTCGATGGGAACCTTTGTCGAAGGCATCGTACGCAGCGTTCCGTGCCACGACAAGTTGGATTTTGTCCTCTGCCTGCTGGTCCAACGTGACGTACAATAGCCATCACAATAACGTTCACGTCCATCCGCACGTGGTGTCGCCCGACGTTGTTGCAATATGGACATAGTGGCGTTATGTTGGCGTATATGAAGATGTACGCCATGGGCGCCTTGTGCACACATGCCAAAGTCCGTGGCCTCATAGCAAGACGGCAGCACGGACAAGCGGACAATACGGACAGTCGTCAAGTTACAGACCGAGCCAGGGCTGCGTTTCACTCTATCCGGATGGTATCACTCACCGAAACGTCGTTGGCGGTCCCCATCAACAACATGCCGATCAACCAGCAGAGATGGTGCATTCGACTACTTGCGAAGCAGTGCTGTACCGACATGATCACGCATTCATACTAGACTGAGGTAACGAGGTGAACGTGTTCAGTGGTGTGAATGGTGACTGAACAAACTGGTAGCGGAGTGACATGTATGTCCACGCGATCGAGCGACAGATGCTCTTCTGTATCAAGCGCATGCAGTGGCTTTGTAAGCTGTCGCTTCGTAGGAGTCTGTACCCCGCAAAGTGTGCTTCTTCCTTCTGTCGTATCGGCCATACTTGCTGGTGCTCGGAAAGTCTGCTTTGCCAACGCGAGGGGATGGAGCTGTACTTGCGGCCCCAGCAGATGAGACAAGATAGTTGTGCAATGAGTATACATCCAGACATACTATGCAACTCGTTCTATGAGTCGTCCTGTCAACTCGTCGAGTCGATGAGGAAGATAACCGGGATATGTATGTACAACTGATGCTCTTCTTCGTCAACGTCAAGCAGATTGAACTTTGTTTGGGTGCTCGAAAGACAGGAGCATGCCGTCCATGCTCAGCTGTTGCGCTGATGCAAAGCATACGATCCACAATCAAGGGTGTTGATTCGGACTTGCGTATGTAAGTGAGAGATGAGGAAACAGTTTGCCTCCTGACGAGCTACACCTTGACACACGCTAGTACTGTCTTGACAACGAAACGTTGTGTCAGGTGTCGAAGGCTATCCAGCTTTTGCATTCGTCTCAGACATCGGTGCGTATTTGAGTTGCTGTTGAGTTTTTTCCAGATGAACTGCGACAAACCAGTGCGAAACGCTGATCACACGCACATGTTTGCAAGTGTGTAGTACGTGTATGACGACCGAGATGAAGACCTTCCATTCGATTAGAATACAAGATGCCATGGTTTACATACCAGTTATACGGCACACGCACTGATATGCAACATGAACCGCTGAGCTTTCTTCTGCATAACACGAACAACTGCTCGTTACGAATTGGGGCGTCGAGCTTACGAACCCGTCCATCAAGAGTACCCTTCATCTGTACTCTGCATATTCGAGTCTCACAGTCCGAAGAGCTTATCAAGACACTGTCCAGCTCAACTCGTATCCAGTCTCGGCCTTTTACATATTCATGCTGCGGTCATGTCGCAAGATCCAATCAGCAGTCATATCTGCTTCTGTCTATTCTGTCACAACGATGACCTTCGCCAAGATCAACAGAAGACCTGAGCTTCTGCAATCGTGGAGCTGCTGCCACTTGTGATAGTCAACCAAACAAGGTATTTAGTAGATTCAACGCCTTTGCGTACAAAAGTTTGTCGATCTACTAGGAACGTATCGACACTTCCATATTCCCGCCCTGTAAATCTCACTACCCTGACAGCTTCGAACCAGCTGTCAGGTTCGAGAGAACCAGAGCACCTGCGCCCACTTGTGCGTATGAGAACTGATCCCAGAAAGCCCCTTGTCCAGCAAGCACCAAGCAAAGGTCGGCGGACCGGTGAAAGTAGAGCTGTCGAATTGTGGCTAAACGAAAATTATGAATGATGATTGGAGTGAGTGAGAAAGTGAGGTATATTTAGGTAAGCTTACAACCTACTATATCCCGTCACCCGGCAACAAGGTTACCGGGGAACTGCTACTTTATATACTAGGTAGCACTAGGTCTCGAACATCAGAACGCCTGCGCGCAGACTCCTGTCGCGGCGGTGTCAGTACGGGGCCCTGTATGACGTATTGTTCGGCTTGAGAGGTCCCCAACCAAAAATTGACATCAGAATCAAGGAAGGTCGTGGCCTCCTGGACTAGAACAAGGTTCGAAGAAGCATGCGCTTGAATCGAAGCTCCCGTGTCCATAGAGATATTTGCCAGTCGATCCGTCATTTTGTTGTCGGTGCGATAATGATGTCCCCAGCTGGAGACATGAATATCGTTAGCGATGGCGCTTGCTTCGGTGAATAACTGCACCAAGTGTTGCTTGCGTGATGGATGTCGTGCTCGGATTTGCTCAAGCACAAGGGCACTGTCCCCAATGACATGCAGGGGTGAGTAGTCGCTGGCCTTTGCTCGCCGAAGACCGTGGACAAGCCCCCAGTATTCAGCGATATGGTTAGTAGTATCGGCAGCGTCATAGGCCACGCTCGCTACCCACAAAACGCATGCGGCGTGCGTCGGAACGTGGAGTCGGACAATAACATATCCAGCTCCACCTGGACCTGGATTTCCGCGGGATCCTCCATCGAAAAAGAGGAGGTAGAGCACTTCTGGGCACCGTTCGATAGGGCGTACGTGCAGCAAAGGAGGTTCGTCGTAGCAGAGGAGGGTATAAGCCAAGGCAGACCGTACCTGCGCAAACAGTTGCCCGTCCCCCCATGTCGGGCTGATTGGTTGATCCACGAAACCTTTGAATTGATCGGCGAAAGATAGTTTTGGCCCTAGCTGTGTGAACATTCTGTGATAGAGACGGGCCTTCCATGCGGCGGAGGCGCTCGACCCATAATGCATGAAGTGTCGTTGATACGACAAAACGCCACATCTCTCGAGCCGCTGGGAAGACCGCAGCTTGAGCTTTTAATAAATCTGCCCCTGTGCTCATTGCTTGCTTGACAGCAACCCAGGCGTTGGGCGGAATCCGCGGGAGGTCCAGTTCAAACACCCAGACATGCAAGTTATCCTCCCTGAAAGTACCAAGCCATCGCCACCGATCAAGGAGGTATTTCCAGTGTCGACGCGCGCTAGGGCATGTCCAAAAGATACGTCTTGCCAGAGCTGGACCAGCATCCACACACTCAGGGACGGGGCACGACAGATCTTTCTTCGCCTAATTCCAGAGCGGGAACCCGTTACTCTTTAGCCGAAATATCGTCTGAGCGTTGGTCGGAAAGGACGCACGAATTCGTCGAATGTTTCTCCACGTGATCAATGTTGAACCTTCCGATATCACGTGAAAGTCCGCCTGTGCAACCCGTCCCTTGAAAAGTCTAGTCCATTCAATAAAGCGCCGCCGGTAGATAAGATGTTTAAAATTCTTTCGATGTGGCTGCCACCGTCGACGACCGGCCCACAGGTGGACAACCCGCGTGAGCATCGGATGCGCGCTAAAGTGGACAGGAGTCCCACTGGATGAGTACGCGGCGATATCGCACGCCGTCATTAACGAGACGGGTTGCAACCCACATTTCATACCCGTATCGAAATGCAGGAGAGATGTACCTTCACGAGCGAGAAGCCAGTCATGGAATTGGTGCACCTTCGTTGAGTACAAAATTAGGGACCCAGACTCTAGCGCCCGATAGATCAAAGACGGGAAATTGTAAAGAAGTGCGAGACAGAAAGACGCGGAATGCCGTCTCTTCGCCATTGACTGGGTCGCCATGTCACGCGTGGGAGAGAACAAGACAATTACAGTCTGCAAAGTCTTCCAAGACATTGCCTCGCCTAGGTAAGTCAAACCCAAGGCAAAGGCGGCTCCGTTTAATGTGTAAGCCGTAGCCCGTCGATCTCGCAGCCACGCCGTATCCTTGAGCGTGTCGTGTACAAACCATCGGTGATCAAATCGCCCCGACACCGCAACTTCAGCACGCATCCTGGCGCGCAGTAGATCATCAAGCACCCGCCGAACATAAATAGTGACACTACCGTCGTCATTATAGGCTACTGTAGCTGTAAAGGTAAAAGAGACGACACGTCTGCAGACTTCCCTGA